CCCCAAAACCCCAAAACCCCAAAACCCCAAGCTTAACAATTAGGAATAAGATAAATGAATTTATATTACAATTTATTTCTATTCAAATTCAATAATGAAAAAGAAGTTGACTTAAGAATTATAAAAAAATAAGGGAGTTGCAAACTAATAAGTAAAGCCGTACTATTTTTCTTTATAACACTTATAGCTAGAGCAATGTCATGATTACAGATTATTATCATGTCAAGAAAAATGATATGCGATTCGAAAACGATTCCAGCTTTAGTTAGAGTCAGAATAATGATGATATGAAAGCAGAATAGACAAATCTTAATAAGTTATTCACTGAAAAGGACTTAAAGAATGAAATTAAGAAGGAAGAATAATTGAGGCTTGAGATTGAATAAGGTATAGCATAGTTTAAGAATTCAGAGATTTAAAAAAATACTTTTGACACTATTCCATCACAAATAAGCAAGGAACTGACTAAGCCTGAAATTTCAATTCTTTAACAGTAGAATTCCCTATTTGAGAATCCCATGATATCGACAGTTCAAATGACCACAACTTCTCCTAATATCCCTATATCAACTATTACTAATTCATAAGGTGCTTCAACGAGCGACTTCTTATCTGACTTTTTACGATCTACTCAACAATACAGGAAGTAGTTGCAAAAGAACAATTTAAACTTTCACAATACTATTTCGTTCGATAAATCTCTAAATAAAAACCTTGGTGGGAGTGGACCGAATATTTCGAATTTCTATAGTTTAAGTAGTCATCTTAAATAACCCAAAGATATAATTCTGGAAAAGACATTAAAATATAAGGTCAGTTCTCCTGATGATATGAGATAACAATCTTTGATGGCTTAAAGTGTTATGGATTATGATAAGGAAACTTAATAGAGGATGTTTGATATAAGATCAAGACATTAATAGTCAAGAGATATATCTTATAAAATAGATGCAGCGAGATCAAAACATGATGAAAATCTAAGAAAATCAATGATTAAAGATACCATAGTTGAGAGCTCAATCGATAACTTAAAGAACTTAAGCGAAGAAGAAAGAGTGAAATTGCTGGGAATAATAGAAAAGAAATTGCCAGAGGACTTGAAAACTATTGATAAACTAATCAATGATAGAAACTTACTGATTACTGATATTAAGGAAAACATGTAAGAGAGTGAAAATAGGGCATAATCTACTCTTTAGTCAGTTAAACCTTCAAATAGAGTAGAATTTTAGATTATGAGGCCGAGCAGATAAACTTAGAGCAACTTTTTTTCCTCATTCAATAAAGGGTTCAGAAAATAGTAATCAACTTCTCAATTGAGATCTAATGGTTAGGATCTATCTATGCCAAGTATAATGACAATGCCTCATATCAAAGGAAATAGTGTACTTAGAAATATGTCAAGAGCAAGCAGTACTTTTAATATCAACATTAACACTAATAATTATATCATGCAGCAGCCCCCAATGTCTGCAACTTCAACTACACTAGAATAATTAAGTTTATAAACAAATATAGGAAGAGATTTAGTGTAAGAAAGACTAAGAACTGGAAAAAATATTTTAGAAATTCCCGAAAATAGGAAAGAATTCTTATTAGGGCACCCATAATCCAGGAAATAAGCAGAATCGTTAAAGTAATGGTTTGAAGACATGCTTTAGAAATTAGAAAAAGAAGATATTTCCAAAGACAAGAAAAGTGATTTAAAGATGAATGTGTATCATGCTACTTTTCTTGAGGTTGCTCGATAAGTGTCAGTCTAATGCCTTAACAGAGGAGAGTTATTAAAGCTGCTATGGAGTGGATTTTTTAAGGACCTTTATCTGTATGTAATTAAAAGTATTAATTATTATAGTTAACTTAAAAAGATTAAGGAGGAAAAAGATGAAATGGAGAGGAAGTTAAGGGATGAGATGGATGATCAAAATTTGTTTTACTTAGATTAACTCAAGAGAAAAAATGCTGAAATAGATAGAGTACCTACTTTTTCAAATCTTAATTATACCTATTTAGCAAAATTAAATCATTGAGGACTTGAAGAATAAACTGCAACAAAAAAATAGAGAGCTAGAAGAGCAAAAGGTAGAAACAGAGAGATGGAAACTAAAATGCGAGAAGATAATGGGCAAATACAAGGAAAGTAAATTCAAGCTTATGATGGCGGATGCGAAAGGTAAGCAAGATTACACCTAAACACCTAGAAATAAGGTTGTTAATGCACCTAGACTGGATTTCACTCAGCTGATGTCAGAAACTAATCTTAAGCTTTTTGAGTAGCAAAGCGACGGTAATTCAAAAAGCAAGAAGTAAAGTCATAGAGATATTGATATTATACTCAGTCCAGATCATGAAGAGGCAAGCGCTAGTAATTTAGGTTTGTCTAAACCAAGTGACGCAAATCTATAGGTAGCTAAGAGAAAGCCAAGAAATAGAAAAGATTTAATGCCTTCCAATTTAGTCTCGCCAAGAGTTAAACCTGCACACAATATAATGATGTGTGACAAGTAAACAGACACAAATGATTATAGAGATCTATATACTAGGGACAGGCTATGCTAGACTGTTGGAGTTGGTCATATGATTTCAAATCAAACTGAAGAAGAATATAAGTCAAGAAATCACGAGAGAAAGGAATCTTTTATGGCAAATGTGAGTTTTGAGCAGGATATCGATAATATTCTGATAAGTGAGACAAAAATATTCGAAGAGTAGCAAAGATAGAACATTGACAATGCAGAAGAACTTAAAAGACAAGCAGATGAAAGAGCATCAAAACTTTAGAATAGATTAAAGGAATTATAAGATAAAGGAGAAGAGAGTCAGAAAGAACTGGAAAAAATAACATAATTAGAAAAAGCATAATTCCAATAAAGAAATGAACCACTTAAGACATAGCAAACAGTATCAGGAGATGAAATTGATATTAATAAGAATAGAACTATGCAATCTTTTGCATCTGGATTAAAGGCAGGACTAATGCAAAAGGTTATCAATAAACTGAAAGAAAACTTCAAATAAAAAGAAGTTCTAATCAAGTAATTAATAGAGGAGAACAAAGATTTATTTATGTAGCTGGATATTGAAAAGGCAAAGTTTAATTAACTTGTGAAATACAAAGATTAAGATCAGAGTTAGCTCTTAGATTTGCAACAAAAATATGAAGATGTAGTAAAAGATTTAAAAAAAGCTAAAACACGACATAATTACTATAAGGATCTATTGCATGAGCTAAGTGATTTATAAGAAGTGAAACAGAAGCTAAACATGTCAGTATCTGATGTTGAACGGACAGAGGACAAAAATGATTTTGCTTTATTTGATGGTAAGAAGGGTGGTTCAAGTGCAAAAAAGAAATTTAGCAAGAAAAAAGAATCACTTAAAGCAAAAATGATGCGCATGAAAGGAGTTACTTCAGGATTCGATGGAGTAGAAGGTATGAATCCTTAAAACTAGCTTGATATTCATAAATAAGGAACATTAATCCAACTAAACTTAGATGATTGGGGTCTTGATAATGGCGGTGGAAGTGATGTTGACTTCTTGATTGATGAATTAGTAAACGATGATGTTTCAGACATGGCAGAAAATCTAAGCTAGAATTCTAAAAGACAAAGTGGTTCTGCTAATCGCTCTAAGAAGCAATAAAAGATGGCTTAAAAAAAGTAGAAAGTTGCTTCTCATCTGTCATCACATTAATTCATCACTAAATTAGTTAAAAAGCTTCATCTACCAAGGTTTTAAAGAATCAGCTGCCCTTTAAAAAACTTACTCAAAAATATTAATGCATGCTATCTGGCTCTGATAAACATATACAAGAATGAATTCTCTGATCTTAAAAATTCATTTACACTCAAATAGTCTTGTGTGGAGTTCATGTATGATCAATTCATGAGAGGATGTGGTATAAAGAATATAGCAGAGAAGAAGTTTGCTTAAACTATCTCAGCTGTGATGAAATTTAAGGAAAAAATATTCAGAGTCAAGCTATTCGGGAATTTCTTAACCTTATTTGATCCAATGGACAAAGAAAGTTTCAAGTTTTACTTGACATGCCTTAATTATATTCTTAACATTAGTACATTCGGCTATTTAGTACCTAACACTGACCAAGATGAGGTTCATTACGCACCTTATATTAGAGTTAATGATTTCATGAGAAATTACTTTGAAAATAGAATTGGTAATGAAGAATATCAAGAATTAAAGATTTAAGTAAGCTTTACTTATATAATTTTTGTTGTTAGATTGATAAATTGAAAGAAAATGACTTTAAAAAGAATCGAAACACTTATATTGTAGAGCTGGATAAAGCTCTTAATATACTCATTAATGAGCATTAGGAAATGCTTCATAAACAAAAAGGCTATGTCATTGAGATATTCTTAGCACTTGATGTAATTAGATTAGTAAAATCACCTATTTATTATAGCATTCACAGCTTGAGATTATGGACTTTTAGTCATTCTATCTTCTGATGCTTCATGTAGAGACTAAGAAATTCAGCTTTCCCTAAATAAAGAGCTTTTTTGAGAAAAATTGCGAAATAATTGCTATATGTAATAAAAAACATCAATAATTAATTTTAGACTCAAAGAAGGATTCAAAAAAGTATTTAACAATTGAGAGTTTTACAGCACTATGCTGCCAAGAAAAGCTCTTCAGTTTAGAAAATTAGCATAGATTTTGGGGTTTCCCTGATAAAACTGAGTCAGATATTATCATTGAAAAGGTACTAAAGTTTAAAGAAAACTTCAAGAAAGAGATTGATAATATATTGAAAAGATTTTACTATGTTTACTAGTATTTCAAGGATCTGATAGTCATGATACAGTTTATAATGGAAAATACTCCTACTACTAAACTTTAAAAAAAGTCTAAACAGATTTGGACTTTAATCAGACTGCTAGAAGAGGAATCTAAAAGATCATATCTTGAGTAATTTAAATGAACTTAACCTATTTTAGTCTTCACGCTTAGAAATATATGGGTCATCTTGATGTTTTCACTTTTGTAAATATTGGTTGGCTTGCACTAGAAGAGTAAAGAAATGTCTTTGAAACATCTTTTCTAAAATAAGAAATGATTAGGAGGCCCTCAGAAAAATAAGCAGATTTTACTTTTTCATAAGTTTCAAAACTAAGACCAACATTTGAGAATAAAATTGCTCTAGAATCCTCTCCGACCACAAGAAAGAATTCGGCTAGAAGACAAACTAGACTTTGAGAATTAATAAGGAGAAATGATAATATTTAATTTGACTTTTAGTCTCTTTAAATTTGATTTCATAACTATTCAATTTACTCTAATTTAGATTCGTGGGGTTTTGGGGTTTTGGGTTGGGGTTTGGGGTTTGGG